GTCCATATACTATAAAAAAAATATAATGGACCGTTCATAATTTATGACTAGGGGGTGATGATGATTTTAGGCACGGTGTTTGTGGGGGTTGGGGTGTCTCCCAGTTTGTTTTGGGAGGCAGGGGAGGGTCAATTGTGTACATATGAACTAGGGGGTGGTCACTGATTTTGAACATGACAATGTGTGTGTGTGTGGGGGTGAATGTGTATGTGTGTGTATGTGACATTCACATTGTACATGTGCCCCTAATATTAATACCTTGCATAGTGAACAGTTTGTACATTTCACGGTAGATCTCTAGACTATGCCATGTGCCGTAATTATTTTGTACTTACATTTTCCAGGATCTCTCCGTATTTTCGTCAACCACTGCCTTCTTATGATCTTATTCTTGGGAATATGGTGAAAAGATACCGTAAATTCCTTACGGGCATCACTCCAACGCAAAGGCACACATGGGTAATATTTCCTTTTCGGGGTCGCCATTTTCAAGGTTGGGTCAACCTATTTAAGCCTCGCTTTCGATTTGACCTCGAAGTCATGCATATTGGCTAAGAATGGTCGAAAGAGCGTCTCTCTGTCAGACATCAGACTGTTGCCAGAAGATATTCATGGATGTAATCAAATGCCTTGAAATTAAATTAAGAGAAAACAGAGTCCATTCTTCTGGGACAGGCTGGAAAACGCAAGCAGTGTGACATTTCTAGTGTGTGTGTCTGTGGAGCAACCATTCCCATTTCTTCCACTGTTAAGGATCTGGGTGTTGTCATCGATCAAGATCTAAGTATGACAGTACACGGCAAGTATGTTACTAAAACTTACTACTCCCATGTCCACAATATCAGTAAGGCCAGACCGTTCTTACCAAAGATGCCTCAAAAACTCTCTGCGTCAGCCTAGTCACATCTCGTATGGACTACTGTAAAAGCCTTTTGGACGGATATCCATCTTGTGTCACTGACCAACTCCAATGCATACAGAATTTAGCTTCTCGCATTACCTCCCAGGTCACCAAAAAAATGCACATCACACCAACGCTAAAGGACCATCATTGGCTGCCCGTGAAACAAAGGATCTCCATCAAACTATTCTGTCTCGCATACCAGTGCATGACTAACACGGCTCCAGGCTAACTCTCAGATCTTCTTCAGGCTTATGCACCATCTAGATCTCTCAGATCAGGGAATCAACACCTTCTTGTTATCCCCAAAGTCAAACAAGCTAAATATGAACACCGTGTATTCTCCTATCCTGCTGATCAAAAGATTTCTCCCCACATTTATTTGTATACATTTTTTTTCAAAGATTATAACCATTTTAGAAAGTTATTCGATCTGATGACTTGAAAATTATTTCAAGGGATTTAATTGAGAGAGTGTGAAGCAGAAAAAAGTGTTTTCTCCCCATCATTTCATTAGTTTCTTATCTATTTTCAAAGAACTCTGCTTGGGGGTGTGTGTTGGTAATAAAATATTTCATGAAATAGAGAAACACACTTGGATAAAGCAGAGACCATATAATAGAGGGACGGCCCTCCCCAACAGTTTATCACTAACCATCAGCGCTACGGCCTGGCATGTAACTGATACACATCGACACCCTGCTGCTAGCTTCCCCCTACCGTTACACATGCGCAACAAATGCGCAGACATTCGCAAATGAGCACTCTGGTAACCACGTAAACAATATTGCGTAATATCCGGACCGAGAGTTAATTCCCTTAGCGGGATTTCACCAGCTGCGTTCGACAGTTAAGCATTACATGGACAGCTCCATTAGACTGATTACAATAATCTTAATTTTTATCTTATCTCTCATTTACACATGTCAACTGACGACATCGCAGAACATGTATCATTCGCGAAATGCGTGTCGTCATAAGCCTGGAATATTTCTTTCAACATTCGGCATGGCCATGGACGACTTAATTCATTCACTGGGATGATTCCGACTTGGACCTCGATACTTACTTGGGGAATTCACAGACTACGACAGGACAGAGAATATAAACCAAAAATACAAAAATCAAACTAACCCAGTCAGGTAAACGCACTTTTAACATTACAGTTGCCAATATCCCCCATGCTCGCTAAACGTATCATCACATGGCTAATCTCAAGATTTACTTGCAAGTATTCGTTGGCACAAAACGAGGGTGTGGTCAAGCATTCGATGAAAGTAAAAATTCCCGCGAATTTATAAAGAATGTGCAGATTTGCAAGCGTTAGCCAATCAGAGGACTTGCTTCGACCACTCCCCTTTTGTGTGCGGACATATCGTCATACATTTGTCAAGATCGTTTAGTTGAGAGTCAAAATTGGTTTTCAATCGACTTGCAGAAATAACAATAAAGAATTGGTAGGTGTCATGAGTGTTGCTCGATAGGCCAATCATCCATGATTATGTTTACATAAAGTTTTAATCGATTGCATGCGATGGTAGCGTAGCGATCGGCAACGCAGTCGGGTAGGGTGCACCCTAGAAGTGTCCGGCCTTGTCATTATGTATTGCACTGTGAAGCATTTCGAGTCGGGGTGTCATCTCAAAAAACAATATTATTAAAATCACGAATCCTCGGAAAGACACGAGGGCCTGTGACTGACTGGTGTTTATTACAAAGTTTATAGTCCCAACGAAACACGATTTCACATTTTCCAAGAGCGTTAATGTTTTTATAATGCCAGTTTGGGGCTAGCAGTGATTATGCCTTGGGCCGTTTGGAGACACTTGTTGTTTTTTTTCAAAGGGAAGCCACTAAATACTAAAGTCACTTGCCTCCGAGCCCATGAAATATATGTGTTAAATGGGCTGTACTACATTACCCTATCAATTAAAAAAATTTCAGCAAAGTGTCAACTTTAGGACCATAGATCTATATGTACAATCATGTATTACTAAATTCAACCATTTAGATATTCTTTCATTAAAAACACAGTAAATATGAATTTCAACTGTTGCAAATAAACTCTAAACTGAATTTGAAATTAAAATTATGCAATAGTTGGTTGCCAATGCTCTTTCAAACAAGGTATATCTACTTAATCAAGATGGGAATATTGTACTTAATAGTAGGCTCTTTGAGTAGCCCTTCCGATGAAAACTTTCTTTTTCTTGGGCATCTACAAAACAAATGATAATTTTATGATATAAATATAATGTTGAATAATGAGTTCATTTTTCATTTTTGTTGTTGCATAAGACAGGTTGTAGGTACTGTCTAAGCCCAGGTAAACTCATAATCAAACTTCATTAGGAAGAATAATGATAACAGAAAAATATATTAATTGTAGTCACGATAAAATAAGGGAAAATGATAACTTATAAACTTCTTGCAACACAACCTGCATAGTTATGTTGTCCATTTAGGATTGATTGTGAATGTGAAACATAAAACCATACAAATCTGAACACAATCTTAATATAACTTCATTAACAGATATTTTAGATATCCATGAAGTGAACTGTACATTGGATTTTAATCTCCATAATTTCTACTCATGTACTTTATTACATGTTAAATTATTAGGCAGATATTGTTGAAATAGCTCCTTCACTTATGCCTGCACCAACTGTAATCAAGTCTGCAAATCTGTCTTCATAATTGCCAACGCAAACATGGTATGTAGACAGTTTTGATAAAAGTTTCTTCATATCTCTTAGAGTGGAGAAAAATGCAGGCAAACCAATCCAGAATTCATGAGTTGGGCCAAAGTCACGTCGATGAGCATATATTGCTGATGTAAAGGATGGCTTGATGACTACTGAAAGCTGGACTGAGCCTCTGTCAGTCATAAAACTGCACAATAGTAATGTTTTCACGCTTGTTTCTTGCAATTATAAAATTGCCTAGCTCATGTACATGCTGAAACAGCTCCTTTTTTAATGTTAAATATTGCTGGTATCGCAGGGTGCCATCAACAAATTCATCTACATTGTTGTCCGGATGATACTGGTATATTGTGTCAAATAAACCCAAAGAATTCATCAGCCGAACAACCATCAGATTTTTTCGCTTCTTCCAGGCATGGGGTATCTGTGGGTTCATTGGTGAGGTCAATGAAGAATGACTTCCATGCTTTGTCCCACAGTGCATCTCTTGAACTGAAAATGGAGTTGCACAATATTAATATTAAAAAAATAAATTTGAAGTGTTCTAAATAGTTGTTAAAATTATGCAGTAGTCGGTTGCCAATGCTATTTCAAACAAGGTCTAGTTACTTACTCAAGATGGGAATATTGTATTTAATAATTTACACTATACCGTTATTTTTACATAAGAAAAGAAACAATATTAATATTTGATTATACAATTGCTTTGATATTTTAAACTTATTTCTGCAGGTACCAGATATACAAGTATATTATATGGTCTCTGGATAAAGTTAATAACCTCAAACTTTAAATATTCAACTCTCCATTATGACCTTCTGACCTTTTAGCAACCTTTTCCACAACCACTTTGTACAGTGCTCAAACGTACTATTTGCACCATATTTCAACTTGGAACCAAACTTTTTATTTAACTAGCATGTCTGATGAATACAAAAAACACAATGTCTTGCTTTCACCATAAAACTTCCACGGGACTTGAATGCTGTACCCATCCTACCAGACTATGTACCGGCTCGTATATTGCGATATGCGAGACGGGGCCCAGCTCACCATTTTTGTTTGTACAAATATTGCGCGGCGATAACTGGTCGCTAGCCAGTAGATATGGCACACCGCAAAACAGCGGAACATCGGTATGGACAAAATTCTCAGAAAGCATTTGATTCAGTAGGTTCAGGGGAGGGGGGGGGAGAGGGTTGTGGGAAGATGTTGTAGATCCACAGTATGTCTGCTACACCACATTATAAATGTGGTGCTGTTTTGCTAACGAAACTTATCCCCGATAAAAGTCCGTTTTCGCCCATACATTATGTTAGCTGTTTCGATACAGTGCGGTTTGGTAATAGTGCCATCGCAGCTTGATCACATTTACCTGCGATCGGGTTTGGAGCACGGACGGAGCCCGAAAGTTTATTTCTATTTCTTCAAAATATGTTGGCCTGTGGAGTTAACTTGGATTTATTGTGAAATTATTTGTATTTCCTTGATTATTTAGTATATTCTGACACAGTTGTGAATTAGAGCACTTTCTTAGTGTATCATACTACGTCTGTGATTCAATATTGAGGATAAAACAGATGCCGCAATAAGTGACTATTTGTTCCGGAGACAAGCTGATTACAGGAAGATCCACCCCGAACAGCGGCGAAATATTATTTACGAACATTAGGTAAGGCTAACTTCACTGTCATTAAAAGAGTGCTTTTCCTTTCAATATCTCAGTAGCACTTTTCACTGTAACATTAAAATCAGGGTGCCGTTGCACAAAACACCCTGTAGCGCTAAGACTACCTTTAGCCTACAGTCACGGGACATAAGTATTCGCCAGTCGGCAAAATTCTCATAGACTTGCATGTTATTTTAGTGGGGAACCGGTCAAAGGACAAAAGGGCAAAAATTGAAAAAGTCAAAAGGGCCAAAGGAAAGTCAAAAGGCCCAACAGAAAGTCAAAAGGGCCATAGACTTAACCCCCTGGGTGCTGTTGCAATATAATGATTACTCCCTTATGAGTATTTTGTGAGGGCAAGCGTGCATCGCTTGCCCCCCTGTGTGCCACAGGGACATATATGTCCTTCCCCTTCGGCCTCAATTTGAGGTCCAATAAAAATCAAAATATCCCATACACACAAATACACTTCACAGTTACGAATTCTGCGGGAAATTTCCCGTTTATTGCTACCATCCACTATAATTTTAGACAAAGCTCAAGAGCTGAAAATGACCTTTCAAAATAGGCTTCATCGAAAATGTCGCCATTTTTGACACAGTACGAAATCGCGATTCACAGCGTATTTGCTGTATGTTTTGAAATGTGAAAATCGGATAATTACTGGGAGTATTGAATTTCAAAAATAACATTCATGATCACTGATATCAGTTTTACAGGAAATCGCTAATGATATAAGATATCTAGAATTATATTATGATATTCTCATCTAAGGAAGAGGCAGGAACAAAATTGAGGCAGATATTGATCATCATCAAAACATTCATGCACTGTTGGAGAGATGTCGAGAATTGGGCATCAGATTGAAGAAAGAAAAACTGAGACTGTGTAGGAAAGAAGTGACTTTTCTTGGTCATGTGAAAACGGGCAATGGACTTAAAGTTGACCCTGAGAAGGTCAAGGCTGTGATAGATATGCCTCGTCCTCAGAATGTGGAGGATGTACAGAGATTCTCAGGGTTCATGAACTATCTTGCAAGGTTTCTTCCCAAGATGTCCGGTATCATGAAACCAATTCGTGATCTTACACACAAAGATGCTGAGTGGACCTGGTCTACTGAACATGAAACTGCTTTCACGGAAGTGAAGAACTTGATCTCTCCGGCACCAGTTTTGGTCTACTACAATGAGAAACAAGAGCTGACATTACAGAGCGACGCAAGCTCATTCGGTCTTGCAGTGGTGTTGCTGCAGAACAACAAACCTATATGCACAGATAGAAAAAGAACTGCTCTCTGTGGTCTTTGGGTGGTGCAAGTTCCATACTTACACATTTGGACGTAAAGTGCTGGTACAGAATGATCATTGTCCTCTAGAGTCAATCACAAGCAAACCCTTGCATAAGGCACCAAGACGTCTACAAGCCATGATATTGGCAATGCAGCAATATGTTGTGACTGTGATGTACAGGAAGGGTACAGAGGTTGTCTTATCAGACACCCTTTCAAGAGCACATCTACCCTCAGATGAGAACAAGGATGAAGAATTCTCATGTGTGAACATGGCAAAATTCTTACTGATAACTGATTAGAGACTTTCTCAAATCCGTCAGGAAGCAGAAAAGGATGACGTGCTGCAGAAACTGGAACATGTCGTCCTAAATGGTTGGCCCCAAAGATAAGAACACTCTGCCCATGGAACTGGATCCATATTTCAACTGTAGAGACGAAATTTCCCTGCAAAATGGTCTGTTGTTTCGTGGAGAATGTCTGATCATACCACACAGTTTAAGGACTCTCATGAAAACAAGAATACATACCTCTCACATAGGAATTGAAGGCTGTCTTCGTCGAGCTAGAGACTGTCTATACTGGCCACACATGTCAGATGAAATCAAACAGTACATCGAAACGTGTGAGTCGTGCTGCAAATATCAAGTTGATCAGCATAAAGAAACCTTACAACCTTCTGAAATGCCAGAAAGACTATATCAGAAAGTTGGAGCTGATATCTTCACTCTTGAGAACAGAAACTATCTGATCAAAGTGGATTATTTCAGTAATTTCTGGGAAATTGACTGTCTGAAGGACACAAAATCTCAAACAGTGATAAAGAAGATGAAAGTCATCAGCGATAATGGTCCGCAGTTCAAGTCTGATGAATTACATAAATTCATTGTTGATTGGGACATTGAATATCTCACGTCTAGCCCTTACAACAGCAGAGCCAATGGCAAGGCAGAATCAGCTGTGAAGACGGCAAAAGGACTGCTACGTAAAGCCAAAGACAGCGGTAATGACCAATATCTTGCAGTGTTAGACTACCAGAACACCGACTCGAGGAGTAGGATCCAGTCCAGCTCAACGTCTCACGAACCGACGTTGTAAAACGTTACTCCCTACAAGTTCAAACCTTCTCAAGCCTAGAACCACTGGTATTGCAGATGAGAGACAGAAACTGTTGGCTAAGCAAAAGAAACAAGTCAAATTATGACAAGCCTGCGAAGGACTTGAAACCTCTGGATGAAGGAGACGTGGTTAGGATGAAGCCATTCACTACGAACAGTAAAGTGGGGCAGAAAGGTGTGGTAACCAAAAGACTGTATGAGAGAAACTATGAAGTTGAAACAGACAAAGTGGTTGTGCGCCGTAATCGTCAACATGTTAAGAAAACGGCTGAGAGAATGACAGACAAACAAGCATCTGTATTCTTGAAACCTCCATCAGAGAAATCAACAGTTCAGTGATTCTGCAGTGAATGCTCCAGTGTTTCAACCAGTAACAACACCGTTGTCAACTGAAACTCCATCATCGTCGACACCAACATCATCAAGGACTGAGCAGGCTCTGCCAACACCTTGTACAATGACGACCAGGAGCAGTAGAACTGGGAAAGTGCCAAAGAAGTTCAATGACTTTACTACCTATGTCGGATAGTGTTAGGTTCAAGTGTTAAGTGATAGTCACAGATATAAACCTGAAGGCTGCTTCTCACTATATATTAGACATGGCTTCTTTTCCCGGAATAACCGCATTTGAGGTTTTTGTTTGCTCCCAGGTTTTACTTTTCGTAAGTTAGACCTATTCCCTGGTTTTACTTTTTGTAAGTAAGACCTATTCACTGGTTTTACTTTTTGTAAGTAAGACCTCTTCCCAAGTTTTACTTTTTCCTAACTCTATATTAACATCAACATTCAAATTCAGATGATATGTTAGTACTTGAAATCAATTGAAAAATATCGTCAAAGATCAACTTAAAGATGCAAATGTTTTCCCTATCAGGATTAGAACCGCATCTCTGAAATTCATAAGCGTATGCTCTCCCTCTTGGCCACAGGGCCGACAAAGAGCTAGGGTTGAATTATCTATTTATAGTTAGGCCTACTGTCATTCAAATGAATTGGGGCGGTGGGTTAGCCTAGTGGTGAAAGCGTTGGCTCGTCACGCCGAAGGCCCGGGTTCGATTCCCCACATGGGCACAATTGTTAAGCCCATTTCTGGTGTCCCCCGCCGTGATATTGCTGGAATATTGCTAAAAGAGGCGTAAAACTAAACTCAGTCAGTCAGTCAGTCAGTTCAAATGATTTTACTAGCACTTCAGTTACTGTTATGTAGACTTCATTACATGATCATCTAATTATCCATCATTGACGGTTTATATGTATAATAAAGCAAGACTCCGAGGTTATGGTTGGGAAAGTAAGACCCGAGACCGGAGGGTGGGGAGAAGTAACACGCTCTCAGTCTTACTTCTCTCCACCTGATGGTCGAGGGTCTTACTTTCCCAACGGCGAAACATTATTATCGCTGGATGAAGGGAAGTAACTCTGAGCATGTTTCCCGCATTAGGAGTTGAGCGCTTTAGTTTCGTATTTGCTGTTTTGGCTCCACTTGTGCCAACACGGTAAGTTTGAAATTACTGAACGAAGTAATGAGATATTGTAAACGTTAATATATCGGGAAGTATTTTGTAGCATCATTATTTCCATCCATATATATTGTGCATACAGTGGCAATAATGTCATTCCAAAATGTGGGCCCACTTCAGCGCCTGTTATAGGAGCCGAAACAAGTGGGCCCACATTTTAGAAACTTGCTTTTTTATCAGTGTATTCTGTAATGCCCTTTTGTTTTTATAATATAACGGAAATAATGTCATTCCAAAATGTGGGCCCACTTCAGCACCTGTTATAGGAGCCGAAAATAAGTGGGCCCACATTTAGAAACTTGCTTTTTTTATCATGGTATTCTGTAAATGCCTTTTGGTTTTTATAATATAACACAAACTGCATGAAATTCAACTAAAACAACTTTAATTTCCCCTCAATGAACAAGAATGTATTCGCACATGTTGAATTTCTTAGACACGTCATCAGGTTGATTTTAGTGAGTGTGTCCATATGCAGGATTATCACTTAAATCATGCTGAGGGAAATGAAACAATAATGAATATAATGAAACAAGAACAACAGTAAATGAAAACTCATTACTGTGATGGAAATAATTTTCCATCAGAGACCTGAAAGTATTTACCGAGTGATAACTTCGTAGTAAAAATCTACGGGAACAGTGGTATGCAAATTAGACTTACCTTTGACCTGAACCACGAAGGTCTATTATTTGGGCCAATAGAACGTCGCCTGGCTCACAGCTTCTCCAATGACACGACGGAGGCTTGTCTCATTAATATTCATGAGGTCTGAATCTGACAAGTTTCGCGGGGTTTCAACCCTGACTTTTGATTGTGTTTTCATCTTAAAACATTTCCATCAGTCGTTTATTTCAAGAAATACACAACTTTTTGAATTTATACTCCTAGCAATACCTGGTTATACTTGTTTAATAATACATAGCTGCTTTATTTTCGAATGTGGGCCCACTTCCTTGTATCGGAAAACAAACTTAGAGTTGCTTCCCTTTACGTTGCCTCCATCCACCGATAATAATGTATCGCCACCGATAATAATTATCCATCATTGACGGTTTATATGTATAATAAAGCAAG